TATATATATATATATGCGTGTGTGTGTGGAGTAGGTGCATAGCTCGATTAGAGACCTTTTACATGATATGCTAATTTTGTGAGATAGGAATTTTGGGTTTACATGAGCCGTATGCCAAAATGATCTGTATTAATACAATAAAAGACCTGAAATATTTCAGTTAGTGTGCAATGAATCTAAAATATATGAATGTTCAAGTTTTATCATTACATTATGGAAAATAATGAACTTTATCACAATATGCTAATATTTTGAGGAGGACCTGTATCAGAAATCTGGTTGTTACTTATGTTCCTAACAGAGCCCTTCACTCTCAATCTGCAGGTTTACTAGTGGTTCCTTACATTTCTAAAAGTAGAATGGGAGGCATTAGTTATCAGGCTCCTCTCCTGTGGAACCAACTACCAGTTTTAGTCCGTGAGGCAGACACCCTGTCTACTTTAAAGGGTAGGCTTAAAGCTTTACTCTTTGATAAAGCTTATAGTTAGAGTGGCTCAGGTTATCCAGACTTATCTATATGGTTATGCTGCTATAGGCTTAGACTGCTGGAGGACGTAGAGACCCCTTTTTCACCGTTCTGCTTTATTCTATCTCTATTTCCCACTCTGCAGAATCTGTTAGTTAAATCTCATACGTTATGCTCTCTCTGATTTTTCACATTGTGGCTTCATCTGGTCTGTTCCTGTTTGGCTGTGACTCCATCATGGAGAGAAATATCAGCTGTGCTGCTGCCATTAACACCTTTATTTATAGATGTTCGAGATCGGCCTGTTTTTCAGTGTAGTCCTATTTCTCTGACTGTGACTGGCTGGATGTGCTCTCTTCATCCTCTGACATGGGAGCTGGCTCGGTGCTCTTCTGTCTGGCTGTGTGTGTCCTGGACGGGGTCGCCTCTGGAGCTGGTTTAAAGTTGCCTTTTGTATCTCTGCTTCTTTTTCTATCTCTGCTTCTGTCCTTAAACCCCAGTCGGCATTGGCAGATTGCTGCTCACACTGAGTCCAGTTCTGCTGGAGGTTTCTTTCTGGTAAAAGGGATTTTTTTCCCCTCTCCATTGTTGCTACAAGCATGCTTAGTGTGAGAGTCGGTGCAGTCAACTTGTTTTTCTTAGATAGAAAACTTTGAATCAATTTGACTGTATGATCTGGTGAATTATAAAATGCCTTCAGATGAAATGTGTTGTGAATTGGCGCTATATAAATAAACTGAATTTAATTGATTTGTCAGTGTGAAACGAGTGTAACCTGAAGTTGGAGGAACATGCGCTTTCCCACTGAGGGTCTGCCACATTAAGTACCATCCCAAACCCCGTAGTGACTCGAAGGCAATTGTAGGATCCAGCCGGTGGGCTGCCATCAATATGTAGCAGGCGCCACCCAGAGTGTCCCAGATGCTACAGCCCCAAAGAACATTCAGAGTCTGAAGCCAGGTCAGGCAAACAGATCAGAACAGAACCAGGCAGGCTCAGTGGTACAGGAGTCTAAAGCCAGGTCAGGCAAACAGATCAGAACAGGAACAGGCAGTCACAGAGGTCTGGGAGTCCAAAGCCAGGTCAGGCAAACCGTCCAGATGGGAACAGGCAGGATCAATGGTTGAGCAGCAGAACAGGCCAGGATTAGGTAATCAGAAACCCTCAATCAGATGTAAACAGGCAGGCTCAGTGGTTGAAAGGCATTACAGGTCAGGATCAGGAAATTAGAAACATCAAGGTACACTATAAACACCCTCACCACTGGCTAGAGAGATAAAGAATAATTTGGCCCTGATGAGTGGATGCAGGCACCTTAAATAGAGGAAGGTGCAGGTAGAGTAGATAAGCAGTGATGAGAAAGACCAAGATCATGACAAAACCTGCTTTGTGAAAGAGGCCTCTGATGTAACAGATGAAAACTGTGATCCTATTTAATACGGCTAAAGTTTAAAACTAACTTCACTGTCAAACTAAACTGTAACATTTTTAATTGGTCCAAGGGACAAATTAGTTCCATTCTCATCTATTAGTGGATACCATCATAAACATATTTAGTATTGCACGGATTAAATTGTTCTAAACAAGAAAAATGTATTAATGTATTAATAAGAGTAATACTATTTTCCTGTATTTGGAGCAAGAAAATGAGAGGCTCTGTCAATGAAATTAGAATCTTTGCTCTTCAAATATGATAAGTAGATATTTTAAATGTACATCATCTCAATCCATCTGCAAACTGTCTCTTTCCTACTCTAATTAAAGGAAAATACAAAATATATTTTCATTTTTTCAGTCTGTTTTCAGTCAGGGGCCATAACGGGGGCCGGGACCTATTGTACAGGAGCACTGGCCCCTGTTGACCCTTGTCTAGAACCACGTATATTTTCCATTTTAACGGCTAGGGCTTTCATTTGTATATCAAACAAATAAAAAGGGTTTAGAAGACACAACCCTCAGGTTTAAGAAGAGAGGTCTCAGACAAAACAGGTTTTACAATGTTTAGTACTTTTTTCCTTGTATTTTTATGAAATGGACGACTGCATCAGCTGTATGGATGTGCATTATTGTTTGCATTTTCCTTACCTCAATATCCACCCGTTAAGAGTGATGAGCATTTCCAGGGAGAAGTAATAAAGTGTGAGCAGAGGTTTCTTCCATAACACCAGACTTTCTTGGTCTTCCCTGTCTCTCTGCTTCTTCTCTTCAACAAGAAACTTGGAGTCTAAAGTACAAACAAACATAAATGAACTGAAGACAAACTAACATATTTGATATAAATGTATGAAGATTAGGGGTGGGTATTGGCAAAGAAGTCATGATTCGATTCGAATCACGATTCACATGCCACGATGCGATTCTATCACGATGCATCACGATACTTGAAATATTGCGATGCATTGCAATATTTTCACTGAACACTGTAAGAAAAGGATACAGCCCTTATCAGAGGCTGACTGGCTGGGTATGATCTGGATAGTGTCTTCAATTGATACATAACTGAAAACAACTGAATTCCTACATAGCTGTATTTATTGAAACGACTTTTGGAGGTGTTGCCATGGAAACAAATACTGGACAGAAATATTACTATTACTGGCGTGGACACACTGACAAAAAGATCTTAGGATTCATCAAACTTAAAATAACAAAATAAGGATAATCAGGGCCTCATCGGTCCTTTAAACCAGGCATCCCCAAACTCGGTCCTCAAGGCCCCCTGTCCTGCAGGTTTTAGAGGTTTCTCTGCTTCAGCACAGCTGGTTATAATGATTGCAGTAGACCAAAACCTGTTACCGGTAATCAGCTTTCAATTAAAATCAGCTGTGCGGGAGCAAGGAAACCTCTAACACCTGCAGGACAGGGGGCCTTGAGGACCTAGATTGCAATGAAACGAAAACATTCAAATGTATGACATTTCCCGTTTTGCAAATTACGTGCGTCATATCAATTTCGTTTTTACCTTCTTTGTTTTTAAAGCCAAAATGCATCCAAAGATCTGACTTTAAATGTGATGGAGCCGTGGGGCGAATTTTCATAGTGTCTTCCATGTTTTATTTCATATGACTCGTCTCAGTATCCCACGGCCGGACATGCTTGTGACTCAAAGCAGCGAGCGTCAACACATCCGCAGCGACATCTGCTGGACTGGAAGTTGTATTCCACTTGATTTGGCTGATGTGCGCCAACCATTAATGTATTTTATTTGTTCATTTTTTTTTTTTTTTATAATCGATTCTTGCCTTCAAGAATCGATGCAGTAGATCACAAAAATTAAAATTGCGATGCATCGTCATGACTATTATTTTGCAAACCCTTAATGAAGATGCAGGGTAATGGTTTTGCAGCTCATAGAGACATGTTTTAGTGGTGATGGACAAACCGGACTGCAGGTGGGGGTAAACAGGTGGATCAACAGGTTTGTTTCGGTTTGAAAAATTTCCTTGTGAATGCAAGCTGCACCAGATGAAAATAGTAACAATGTTGCAATTTTGGTCCCTAATTGGTCCAAATCTACCTGACTACCAGGTGTGAAAATGACTGAAGAAACACACAAATCGATTTGCGACTGTTTTATAGATTTTTTGTTTGGATAGTTTTGCACACACTATCCAGTCAATGGCCCAGGAAGATTCCAAGTGCATTTGACTGAGGGGGGCCCTACAAAAACAAGTAAACATGTGTCTCACTAAATATTTCAAATATTAAAAAAAATAATGCCAGTAAAATAAATTATCTTTGTGTTATCCATGATCTTTCAGGATTAAAAGCGAAACAAAGCATGAATATATTGACCATTATTGTCATTATATGTAGACTTTAATGAAAAATAAATTCTCAGCGACAGCATAAAGATAAACTGTCCTTTGTTTAAATTCATAGCGAAACAAAATAATACAAAACCTATTTTCTTTTCATCTGTACATAGATAAATCTTTTTTTTTTTGTTCTAAATAAGCTGTTCTTATTTTGAGAGAATGATTTTTAATGTAAAGTTAAAGTATATTTATCTTTTTCGTGTGTGGATAATTTTCATTTGTTGAAATTGAACAGTAAAAATTTGATTAAAATGTAAATTAAGCTCTTCAGTCCATCTTTATAGCAGTTTTAAAGCTTGCATAATCTTTTTTTGGGTGGGGGCCCAATATCAATGTCTTACATGGGGCCCCAAATTTGTGGCGGTGCCCCTGCTCCAAAGGTTTAACATGGGCATAAACTGGTGCCTCGCTATAAATTACTCTTACCTGTCAGTTCTCCATTGTCTTGCTTCTTGTCACCAAGACGCCTTTGAGGTTGCTCAAATTCGACTCCGCTCTCCGCCATCATTCTCCTTTCACTGATAGTGAGTTCTGTCGAGCAGAGAAACGGGTCTCAGTATCATGCAGGTTGCTCTCCAAACCAACATGAATCCTAAACAAACATAGAATCCCAGGTAACTACGCATCATTCCCAAATCCTCTAAAACCTTTTCCGTTCTCCGGCCAAGCAGCCACTGTTTTCCTGCTGCTACAGCCTGCATTTTACTGGTAACCTGATCAGGCCTGTGCATGACTTAATGACTGCTTTGAGTGGCATATGGTCTTGACACTGCGAGCACATGAAAGTCTTCTTGTCTTTTCTATCCTTTCACTACCTTGCAATTGATTTCATATGGCTGCCTCATGTAAAAAGGATTTTCATCTTCTCTAAATAAACTGGTAGAACAATCGCACACCATCCCACTACAGTGAAAACCAAGTCTTTAAAGCCAGATGTTTAAATACATTCCATCTGTGTTTAGTAAAATTACTTTTAAACTGTATGACTTAGAGTCAAACATTTGGGTTTCCTTTCAGAAACTTGTCACCATAGTTTTCTGGTATTGTGGCCTATTCTTCCTCATAGAAATGTTGTAACTAAGTCAGACTGTGGGCTGTTTATCATACATCTATCAGCTTTGTCCACAAATATTATATGGAACTGAAATCAGGGCTTTTTAATGGTGAATCTGAAAGGTTTATTTTTTTGTTCTAAAATAGTTTCATGACAAATTTTGGAAAAAAAATAGGACTAATAATGAGCTTTAACTACTAGACTAACTTTTTGAGATAATGCCTTCATACTTCCAGATAAAGATTTTTCCTCATCAGGTTTTTGTTTTTAAAGCACACTAGACCCAGCTACAACAAAACATGATGTTTCCATCCCCATACTTCACAGTAAGGATAGTTTTCTTAGGCTTCCTATTTTTTCTCCAAATGTATTAGTGATTATTATGGTCAGTTTCGTTTTAGTTCAATCAGACAATAAGACATGTCTCAAATATTTACAGTACTTGTCCAGAAGCATATTTGCACACTGTAATATGTCTTCTATTGTGGAGTGAATGCTGTTCTATTATTGTCGCAAGCAAGGAACAAGTTTACTAAAGAAATTTAAAAAATAAAACAACATTTTCAAATTTCTGTTTTACATATTCAGCTTTATGAATTGCACTCTTTTCAAATTGTATTTTAAAGATCACAGTCTCTTCATTTCTATGTAGTTTAATGTTAAAAAGAAAATTTGTAAAAACAAAATCGGTAAAAAAAAAAAAAAAAAGTTAAACACATTTTGTATCTCTGCTTCTGTCTCCTTGAACCCCAGTCGGCCTCAGCAGATGGCCGCTCACACTGAGCCT